AGCAAATTGCAATTTTTTGTGGTCTCCATAAAACGGACATTTGGCCGCTATGATTTCCTTCTTTATAGCATAGCCTTTCTGACCGTTTTGCAAAAACTTTAAATTCTTTTTGCTTGGGTTNGAAAAAGCAGTAATTTTTGATTTTGAATTAAAGTTTCTTGGTATTCAGAGACCTTCCAATATGCCTAGCCTAGCAAATTGCAATTTTTTGTGGTCTCCATAAAACGGACATTTGGCCGCTATGATTTCCTTCTTTATAGCATAGCCTTTCTGACCGTTTTGCAAAAACTTTAAATTCTTTTTGCTTGGGTTGTGCACTTAAAGCTCTCACAGCGAAAATCCCACGCGCCTTGATTACAAAATTGCAGGAAATGAGCCAGAATTCCTCTTTGAATTATAAAATTCAGCAAATACTAAGAGGGTGCAAAACTGGAACAATCCAGTTCATTTTTGCTTGGTCATTTTTTTCTGAGTTTCCATATGCGAATCTTAAAACTTTTATGGTCAAACGTTTAGTTACACATCGGTAAAGCGAAATGCAAGTTTGAATTACCATAAAGTAAATAAACTGAAGAAGTACATTACCACAAACTTAACTTTCCGTTCTATTGTTCCAGTTTTGCTCTTCAGTGTATATTCAAAGGCCTCGTTGGTCAGGCGAAATCATTTCAGGCAAGGCAAAATTTGTAAATGAGCTTGAATAACTAACCATTTATATATCTACATACTTACGCTGTGTTTGAGAGTGCAAAGGATTGCTCAGTTCTCTTAGCTGCCTCCGCACTATTTTTTCATTTCTTTCACTATTGCAGGAGCTCAAATAAAAAACAAACTCGGATCCATATTTAAATTTTTGTTTACTTCGAATCTAATTTGTCGATATTTTAACAGATCCACAGCTATTGTGACTTAAAAATACGATCATAACATAGTAGAACTTAAAAACTATTGTGAACTAAAAATAAATGACGATCCGTTCGCTTTCGTATGTAATAATACCATTCCGCTTAAACGACTGACGTATCATGTAATTTTCTTTCGGATGTTACGATTCGAGCCCTGGGTTTTGATATAACATAGATTATAATCCAAAATAGATTATTATCTAAAGGTTAATCAAGGCAACCCAATAACTCAAAATTGGTAAATTTGCACATTCATGCTTCTGGAATAAGGGTGGCGATATCCAAATAAATACATCTGTATTTGCTAGAATAAAGGAAGTATTTACAATTATAAGTGGCTACTTTTAAGGTTATATTACTGACAAATTACCTTTTTCTATTTTGTCAATGAACTAAACAAATAAAGGCCCACCCGACCAACGTAGACGAGAATGTATCCGTTTTAGAAATTTTGTTAACACTTTCGCGTACAAAACTATCGAGAATGGGTTCCGAAAAATTATTGTAAAAGTATTACCTATCGCTCAGTTTGTGGCAGCAGAACTCTTGTTCCCGTTATATTTGTTCAAAAGTTTTTACGAAGTGTTCGATAGTGAAACCGTATCTCAGGCGAAAGTTATTTCGAGCCGTTGTGCTGTCGAGAAATTAATGAAAACGGAAATGTTTTCGATCCGTTCGATTATCGAGAAAGTAGGAGGTTGTTTCAATTTACGCATCGAGAATGCATCGAGAGAAGAAACGTAAACAAACATTAATTAAAATAATAAAAGTATATTAGTTAACGATTTTAACACGAAAAGATGCAATAAAACTTATTATTAACTGACATCAAAAAGGAGGAAGTTTATCAATTCTTCGGAATATTTTATTTTATTTTAGCTTTCAACGACGTGAACAGTTTTCTATTATTCTTTTCTTTTTTTTTTTTTGTAGGAAAGGGGGTACCTAAATGGTGGTCCCATACTAATTTTGTTTAGTTCCAATCTTCATGTATTCAAGAAATTAACGGTAATCCTAAATTGTTATATTAGCAATGAAGTCGCATGTATATGTATTTGCTTAAAAAATACTTGTTGTCGAACATCACTTTCGATTCTTTGTTTTTTGACATTTACACATTTTGCCGACTCTGCCATGAGCGTACGGGATTTTTGAATCGCGCTATTTGCGTGATAAAGATAGTCAGTTATTTAGTTTAATATATCAACGCCTCCAAACCATAACATGCTAATAGCCCAGTTATGCATACTTGCACTGCTATACCATTTTTACGTAAAAATCAAAACCCAACAGAATTCTACATGTTAAGTGCTATGCGTTGGGTAACCGCTTACCCGCAAAGCCCATTTAACAGATTATTATGTGACAACTCTCATGTAGCGCTAAGTATGCATAACTCGGCTATAAGTCTCACTAAGTCTAAGGTGGCTTAACATGGTATGGTTTGGAGGCGTCGATATTTATCCTGCAAAGGAGTTTCAACACTTACTCCGATTTATGTATTTTCTAGAATAAATGAAGTATTTACAGTTATAAGTGGCTACTTTTAAAGTTATATTACTGACAAATTACAAATTTTTATTTTGTCAATCAACTAAACAAATAAAGGCCCACCCGACCAACGTAAACTAGAATGTATCGGTTTTAGAAATTTTTTGAACACTTTCGCGTACAAAACTATCGAGAATGGGTTCCTTATAATTATCGTAAAAGTAGTATTTGTCGGTCAGCTTGTGGCAGCAGAACTCTTGTTTCCGTTATACGTTTTCGAAAGTTTTTGCGAAGTGTTTTCGATCCGTTCGATTACCGAGAAAGTAGGAGGTTGTTTCAATTTACCCATCGAGAATTCAGCGAGAGAAGTATCGTAAACAAACATTAAAATTACTAATTTACGATAATTAGAGATGTTCCATTCCAGTTGATTCCTATATTTAACATAACTAATAAAAGATTACAGTATTTCAATTTTACCGCTTTTTAAACAAAAATTAAGGTTATATAAATGTATATAGATGTGAGTTAGGTAAATATAATAATAACTAAAATAATGAATGCACATTAGTTAACAATTTTAATATGAAATGATGAAATAAAACTTATTATTAACTGACATCAAAAAGTAGGAAGTTTATCAATTCTTCGGAATATTTTATTTTATTTTATGTATATTACCGGGTAGCTTTGAACTACGTGAACAGTTTTCGATTATTCTTTTTTTATAGAAAAGTTGGTACCTAAATGGTGGTCCCATACTAATTTTGTTTAGTAGCAAACATCGTGTCTTCAAGAAATTAACGGTAATCCTAAATTGTTATGTTAGAAATGAACTCGCATGTATATGTATTTGCTTAAAAATTACTTGTTGTCGAACATCACTTTCCATTCTTTGTTTTTTTCTTGACATTTATACACTTTGCACACTGTCATGAGCGTACGGGATTTTTTAATCGTGCTATTTGCGTGATAAGGATAGTCAGTTATTTAGTTTAATATATCGACGCCTCCTAACCACACCATGCTAAGTCTCACTAAGTCTAAGGTGGCTTAACATGGTGTGGTTTGAAGGCGTCGATATTTATCCTGCAAAGGATAATATATGGTTCCATAATTAATACATGGTTTCATAAATTGTTTCATTGGAACTATTATATGGTGATGCCGAATGCATTAATAGTATTAACTTAATACCAAATGTATGCACATATATGTATGTATGTATTTATGCTCAAATTACTTTTATTTACATTTAACGTTTTGAAATATTATTACAAAAATTGTATTACAGCGACGCCTCCTTCTATATATTTTTGAATATTTTGACCAAGAAAGGTTAGAGAAAAACTATAAAACCATATATGTAATACTCCTATATTGGCAGTAAGAGCTAGTACCGTCCGAAAACACTACAGCACAGATATATCAATAAACACGTACGAAAGAAAAGGAACACATGCGTTTATAAATAAACATGTACACAACACATAAACAAAAACAACACTCAAGTACAGAATACATTGACAAAAACGGTACTAGACTGTCTCGCTTTGATTTCGGAATGCTTACACATT